GTGCGCTCCAGTTTTGAACGCACTATTGGGAACGGGAAGAAGGTAGCCGTTTTTCACAACTGACACGCGGATCGTTTTGTTGTAAACCACAGAAATGTCATAACAAACAACGCACCCTTGTGCCATGGAATGACACATCGGTTATTGCTTGTTTAGAGCCTCGCCAGAAGAAATTACCTTCTCTGACATAGAGCAAGGTATCCTTATCTAAAAAAAGACTGCTGCATTAGTAAAGATTTTCAGAAAACTTTAAAATTCAAACCGATCGTTTACCTCCAGAGAGCGTGTAAACATCGTGGACATCAACATTGTTCAGAGAGAATAACCGCTGCAGTCTTCTCAGTGAAACGAGAGCCTCGACTAGCCCATTTAGCACCCACGGAAATGCATTCAGAGGCATTATCAATATATTAACAAGAGCCAATGAGGTGAAAACCTGAATACCACTAACGATGAAACAGTACCACACACAATATTGAGCCTAGGTATATAAACAGGTGAAAGTAGATGGAAATAACCTTAGCTGCGGTGAGTTTCCACTGAAACACCAGGGTATAAGTAGTCAGAATCGAAACTGTGATTAGCAGAGGAGCCGAAGCCCACATATAGACGCAGACAGCATCGAGGTACTTGCGAATCTGGAAAATGGCAAATTCAGAACAATGAATCGGAATAACAGGATACGCGCTACACTACTGACCTTCAAATAGTACAGCTCATTCTCACGAAGTTTATTGATCTTTTCTTCGAAGAATGTTTCCCATGCCGAGGATTTCACAGCTCGAATACCTTCCATGGTTTCACGAACTACCTAAAAAAAAGCAGGAATCCTTGCTCATTCTTTTTTCTTTCACCAAAAATGTGCTTTCGGAAGACTTTGAACACTGACCTTGATCCTCTGATCCTTGCAGTGCATCAGTTTCACCGACATCCGCCCGATACTGTTCGTTACCCACTTATTGAGAGGAATTAGAATCACTGCAGCCACGACTCCGGCGATAAATGCCAGACCGACCTGCCAATTCAAATTGCTTGAGGACAATAACATTTTCCTTCACCAGCTATAGGTGCCAAGATAGAAAAGAACCTCTCGATACAGCAAATAAAGAGCGATGGTTAGTTGCACAGGTAAACTCCAAAACGCATGAAAAGAATTACAGAAGTTAACTAAGCGGTCGACATCTGTTGAAACAAAGTTGAGAATAGATCCTGAAAGTGTAGTTCCCACATCAGAATCAGGTGGTTGTTTTATCTGCTGATGACTGTCAAAAACTACATAGACTTGCTGTGTACCTGATGAAAACTTGGACATTTCGCTCAAGGGCACCATCAACAGCTTGTCATAGATTGAAGTAACAGTTGCAGCTCGTACTCTACACAATAGAAAATTTAAAGAAATCTGTGAAATCTAACGCTGTTAGTTTCTTCCTCAAAATTTAGAAAGGCAGCACAGGAGCGATGATTCGCAAGATGTAAGAAGTAGTGCGTAGGCTGGAGTTTCGAAAAGCATGAGAAATAAATGGACCATACACATTAACGAGCGACCAAGCTTAGGGAGCAGGATCTTGGGTAAAAGGGTGTACTGGAATACAAAGGGACATTAATCCTCACGGCCAGGTCAGGTCAAGTCAGATTTGCGCATAGCCGGCTTAGAGCTAAGCCTGAGCCTAACCTTAGGCTCAAGTATGAGCCAATATGTGAGCATAAGCCGAAGCCGTAGCCTAATTTTAACATCAATTATCGCGCAGATCTGGTAACATGACTGACCTATGGGAGAATCGGGCGCCTGGAATACAATCACCTTGCAAGAAAAATTGAAAGCCGACTAGAGAAGGATCCCACAACGACAGCAACTTTTTGCATCCGTAGCCAAGGTCCACTTCCCTTATTGGCGAATGTACTCTACGTGATTTCTAGTGAGTAGAGGTGGTGTAGTGGCAAGTGGCACGCTTACCACGCGAGCGGTCCGGGGATCAAATCCTGGGTCGTGAGTCGCCCAACCAAGCCTTCCATCCCTCCGGGGTCGGTTAATTGGTGTCTGGGAGGATAAAAACACTGACTTGTACATCGGCTGGCCCCGCAAGTCATTGTATAGGCCACATCGCATTCAAACGCCACTACGAATGTACAAATGGAAGTAGAATGCGTGCCGCATCCCAAAAAGGGATTGATCAACGGCAAATGCTTTATCCTTATCCTTTATCCTTTATTTCGTCATTTTATTTTTATTGCTTTTCATACATGAAGCAGGCAAAGATATGATCCGCTAAGGAGCAGGGTTTCAATTGAGCTAAGTGATATCGTCATAGAAACGAGAGAAGACCACTGAAAGTCAATTCAAACCAGACAACTATCCTTAAAAACTTGCTCAACAGAAATCCTACCTATTCTGCGCCAAAAACCCTGTGCACCCTTCCGTTCATAAGCAGATGAGCGCTGAAGGGTAACTGACAGGACGGAGGAAAGCCAAAACAAGCAGCAGGTAGCAACAAGGATAAGAATTGTAGACTTATCGTCAGCAATTGGGGAAGGTCTAATAAGGTGAGTATAAGTTTAGATGTAAGTGATGGAATAGCGAAGCACGAGCGATTTTAGGAAGTAGGGCAAAATGTGACGAAATAATATGGTTGAACTTACTTAAGACTAATTTTTTGCACATAAAAGTTGAAGTTCGTTGAAAACAAAGCAGCCAGCAGTGAACATAAGACCATGAGGGCGGCATAGAGGAAGCCAATCGGCTGAAAATTTCAGATCAATGTAGTGGTAAAGTGGAACAAAACCAGGGGGATTACTGGTGGCACAGCTCACATTTGGAGTCGGATTTTCTAGAACATCAACCAGAAGATGAAGCAAAATAGGTCCAGCAAAAGTGAACGCATCAGATGCGACTCTGAGTAGCGCAAGTGAGAAGAAAGCCACTCCAAAGGTAGACAACAGAGATCTGAATGAAAAATCGAGATCGAAGATCAAATGTAAGGGATAACAAAAACTTACGAGGAAAGGGAATACTGCTGAGCATCCGAATAAAAAGTCGGCGAATTCTCAATCATTTTGTGTTCAATAGCTGCTACCTCAAGCGAAGGAGGCAAAGCAAACACATCGTCTATCTAACAATGTGAAATATAAATAGAACTCTTATAATTGGCAACACCGAATAACAAAATCACAACAGTAACACCAACCGAATTCAACTGCAGTTTGCCTCCCTTCTGGATAAGTACATTCGTCCAACAGAAAAAGATCCGCGACAAGATCCCTGCTGATTCGTCAGCAGAGGCGTGTAGCTCAATATACCCGAAGGATTCTGCCGTTATGAAGGCTCTTAATATCATATAATGCAATCATGGGAGGAAAAACTAGGATTATCGAATGATAAATAGTTTAAGAAACCATAACTAGGCGACCTAGAACAATAGTGAGTTTGCAACCAGTTAGCCATGATGAAGGCAAAACGGTCGCTTGGACATCCTACTACTGGATTTACTACTAACGACCAGCAGCTTTCGACTGTTGGAACGCTCACGCTTATGCTGAGGACGCATTCGGTCAACGATGAATAAGTCTTCATCAGAGACGCAATTAAAAGGATTACTTTCACAGTGAAAACAAGATAAAACTCACTTATAACGTCTCCATTCCACAAAGCTAAGGGTCGATCCGATGAATAAATGAATTAAGGAAATTGTGAGAAGAATGTAAGTTCTTGGATCGTAGAAACCGAATAGAAGCCATCTATTGACAGTAATCAAAATAAACACTTTTGATGCAAAAAATGAAGCCACTGATAGCCCTCTTGAACGAGTCCAGCTGAAACAACAAAGAGATACAAGATTTTAACGGTACTACAGCGATCCACCTCTGTTACTGATGCAGGATCCGCTATTTACCTTCTGATCCTAACGATGCCTGGCCAAACGGGTTGCGGCAGTTACAGGCTGATAAATACTAACTTCTTTGCAAGGAGCCTGCTATTTCCCCGGCAGTACTTTGTCGTGCTTATAGTAGAAACAAAAACTTGAGCTGATCTTCCCGAAAAGACATTTCACGCACTCACTAGGCATGTTAATGATTTGTGTATCGCTGCGCTCCCAATTTCAGCAATGCCGTACCGTGGCCGCATGCGAAGTAGGCTGCACCATGCTCTGCTCAGCAAGAGAGGTAGGCTGCACCATGCTCCGCTCAGCAAGAGAGGTTGGATCACCAAAACCACAAAACTACTTCAGCTATAGATAAAGCGAACACAGCAGCTAGAGCGAATAAAATTCTCAAAAGACCGATACTAAAATACAAAACTATGCTCACCTTCTGGTCGTCTTCGAAAAAATTAGAAGAGCCGCAAATGTTGTCCAAACTATAGCCAGAATACTGTATTCGAGAATAAAAATTGGTCTCAGATAAAATTTCGGGAGGAACGACATGCCAGATGAAGTGCTCATTGCAAGTACTGTCAGGGCACAAACGATAATCTTCAAAGTGAAGATGCTAGAGATAGCTTCGCTGTCGAATGGGTGATATCCTCCCTGAAACAACACACATTGTATGAATGGAGAAATCCTACAAAAAACTCTGAACTTCTTTTTCGACTAGGTTTTGCTTCTTAACTTCCGCTTTTCGCCAGAGTTCGCCTTACGGAACCTAACAAGCACGCTGGTTACGAGCTAATCATTGGCTTTGTTGAGGCGAAGCTAGGGTCGATCCCTGCCTAGGTAAATGTTTTGGCCACAACTCGCATCCTTGAAAAATCATAAACTTCACTTCGTAAGGATATTTGTAGCTATTACTTGTGTAGCCATAGTCAAAAGTTCGGACCCACAGAACCGAGGGAGGAGAGCAGATAACACTGAGAAACGTGCGGAACCATTACCTTAACTATCAGGGAGGACAACAGTTCACCTTCACGAAGGAAGCTCCATCCGCTCGTAACTTTTTTTGACTCGCTTGAAACTATCGA